AGAACAGACTTACTTATAATTAAATCATAATTAAATCATAAACATATTTATCTATAATTAGACATAAAATAAAGATGTTCATTATTCAATTTTATTGAAACATGGTTGCAAATATTAATTTAAATTTAAACAAGTACATATTCAGTTGCAAATTTTAACATTCGAATCATGTATGTTGCTTGTAATAAATTTCCATATCAAACTGGGAATAATGACGCGTAAACTATGCATTAATGTAACGTACATGATACCCTGATTTGTTTGGTTTTATAGTTTGTTTTTTTTTTTTTAAATGATTTCGGTGATACCTACACAGAAAAAAAGGATTAATATTCAATTTTATTCTTGTATTTTTTTTTTCTAAAGTGATGAGCGCCTTATACTCTTAGATGAGGCAAGCTTCTTCTTAAATTATTTTTTAACGAAGCAAAAATCTCTTTTTATCAATTGATCATTTATTTTCTCATTATTTAGTGACTTGACATTGCCTTGAGCCCAATAAAATGTGACTTGGCTTCCAACATATGAAGGCTGACATTTTAACCATCTAACTTAGCAACACACCCACACTACTTCCCCCCTTCTCTCCTTCTCTCTCTCATCATCTGAGCTTTGAAGTTTGAAAGACTAAACCCTGACACTTGACAAAGAAACAAGGAAAAAAAATTTCACCCAAAAATGGTTGTAAACCCTACATTCCCAAATCAATCTTTCTACTTTCATCAATTTATTGAGAAATTTTTTGAGAAAAATGTCTGGTCATGGAAAAGGAGGCAAGGGTATGGGTGAGGGAGAAGCAAAGAGGCATCACAAAGTCCTCCACAATAACATCCAAGGCATCACAAAGCTTGCAATTTGAAGATTGGCTAGAAAAGGAGGCATCAAGAGAATCAGTAGCTTAGTCTACGAGGAGATGATAGGGATGCTCAATATTTTCTAAGTAGTTTTACTTCAAGCGATGGTGATGAGGAACGTGATTCAATTTTGATGATGGGTGAGAAGGCACACTTGAGCAAGTGAGATTGTTGATTATAATTTAGGTTTGGTATGGGTTGATACACTATGATTTGGTATGGGTTCATCATATTCTTGTATTTTTTTTTAAATTTATGTTGAATCAGGTGCTAATTGCTAGTGAAGTTTGGGTTTTTGGATTTGTGAATGAGTTGATTCTTCCATGATTCATTTTCTCATATAGTTTTACGGGTTTGTGGTTGATTTGCAATTCTGGGCTTCTTAGTGGTTTCTAAGTCTGTGACTAGTTTGCATTTTTGAGTTTTTTGTCTAGTTTCTAGGTTTGTGATTTCTAGGTTTCTAGATTTGCATTTCACTCAACACTAATAAAGATGCAAGACCTTAGGTTTACTTGCTCGTTTGCAAGGGATTCAATCAAAATCCTTGACCTAGCTAAATAAGATGCCAATTCAAATGGTCAAAATGTTAGTCTTCACAAATTGAAAGCCAAGTCAGTTTTTCCTAGGCCCCGCACAATGACAAGTCACTAAATAATGGGAGACTAAATGGCAAATTAAAAGAAGGGAATTTTTACTCCCTTAAAAAATAATTCAAGGAGAAATTTGCCTTCTTAAAAGTACAAGGTGCTCAACACTCATAGAAAAAAAAGTGTACAGAAAAAAATTAGACCTCAACCCCAAATAATAATCCCTATCTCACCATACATAGGGGTGTGTGTAAAACTTAAAGGTATATTTTAGACAAGGATAATAGAACTTTCAGTCATTTAAAGAGTTTGGTTTTTATCAATATAATCCCTTGTATTATGTTTTATTTTCTTGTTTTTTTAAAAATTTTAGAGTTTTTTTTTCCTAACTAAATAATTACACTTTTTTCTATTAATCTACACGATTATCATGAATACGCTGTTATTCATGACAACAAATTTTAATAGCTCTTCCTCTTTGTAAAATAATAGGGATCAAATTGACAATTGATGTAAATTTAAGAGATTCAGTTAATAAAAATTAAATTTGGAGGGCCAAATCAATAATTGAATAAATTTTAGAGACTAAAAATTATATTATCCTTTTTTGATAATAGTAAAAGTAATATCTTCTACTAACTAATGTTGGGTCTAATAAAATGAGTTGGTTTCTTATAACCTACTGAATAAGGTTTGAATTTTGTTAGGGAAGTTATTTATAGTCAATGTCATGTTTTGAGTAAGATTGTTTCCAACAAAAAAATGTACGAGTGAAATAAAAAAAGTAACCCCCTTCTTAAATTTTAGAGATCATATAAGTGAGATTTTCATCTTCTAACCCTTTTTTTCCCCATAAAATCTTCTAACCTTTTCACAGGCATATTCTCATCAGACCTTCAGAGTTCGCAACACATGTTGATAATTTAATTGCAGGAGCATCGAAAGGGTTGATAGGGTAACAGGCATAAATCAACATTCAACAGAATTGATGTCGTTGAACGAGTTTAAATATCTAATTTATAATTTATAAATAATGAGGCTTATTTTAAATTTTATATGCATGCTGTTGAAATTGATAATTATATGATATATTTTTATAATTTACATATCTAAAAATAATATATAACTCCCAGCAAACGTTATTATGCACGAAGAGTGGCTGGCAGAAAAAAAACGAAGAATGAATATAACATGATATGTTATTTATATTTTATGCATTATGTGAGACATATATTACTTTATGTAAAATAATAATAATTTAAATTAAATATTCTAAATGATTAATTTTAAAAATAATATTGACGAGGTATTTATATTCTCAGGTGAAAAGAACTATTTTAACATTTAAAATTAATAAGAAACTCTTTTTTAATTTGCATAAATAATCTCTTACTGTTAATTTATCAGTTATCATATTAATGAATGTAATCTCCTCCCTTCATTAAAAATGTAAGATATTTTTTGAGAAGTTATATATATTAAAAAATGTAAAATATTTTTACTATTTCATGATATAATTAATATGTTTTTTTAAGTACCTCCAATAAATAAATTACTTTATATTTATTTTAAAGCAAAACATTCTATTAAATTAAGTTAAATATTAAAAGATGGTGTTAACTTACAAATAATTACTTTATTAAATGTGAGACTTGATTAAAAATATTTTATATTTTTTAAATAATGTGAGTAGAGAAATAATTTGCACATATCTTAAAGCGTCAGAAATTATTTTAAAGAAACTAAATACATCAGGATACGCATGTATATTTGGCCAGAAAAGAGGAATATATATATATATATATATATATCAGTAATTTGTTTAGGAGTAATAGAATTTGCCTTTTTTTTTTTTACCATCAAAATTTGCCCATTAAGGTCATACCTAAGAGTGTTCAAAAATGTACCTGCCTTCATCATTCTATAATTATTCCAATTATGTTATGATGGGTTTGTCCTAACTCTAAAAAAATTAAGACGCGTTGTTTGTGAGACATGATAAAAAAAAAAAGTTGGGATGAGATGAAATTTGAGATTGCCTTTAGGATATCCTGGTTTGGGATATATGTTAATTATTATCTTATTTTTATTATTTATTTGTTTATATTTTTTGTCTGAGTATTTTTTATTTATTTTTTTAAGATTTGAACAATAAATTGCCCTTTCTCACATTCAAGACTAACTAACTTTTGTTTTTTTAATGCCCTTTGAATCTTGTCTTATCATCACCCTCATCCTCTCCCCGGTAATTACATTTCTCCCCATCTATTTTTGGATTTAAATTTTGTAACTATACTTAGTACAAGCACTGAGTATCTGTATTATTTGAATTGTTAAAATTCAAATCAATTGATATGAATTTACATTTTACTTGATATTAATGAATGAGTAAGTTTATTTAAATTATTAATTTGGATTTCAATAGCTCAAATGATATAAGCATTTAATGCATGTACTAAATACAATTACTGAATCCAAAATATTCATTCTTTCCTCCTCTTCTTTTAAAAATTATCTATCTTTCCTTTATTTTCAAGTATTCATATTAATTTTTTAATTATCAATTATTATTTTAATTAATTTTACTTCTTTAAAGTTTGTTGTTACATACTATAATTTCTGTTATATTTTCTTGAATATGTGACTAAAATTAATCTATCAATTATATTCTATCTTTTTCGTACATATAAAATATATATTAAAGAGATAAATAAATCTCAACACAATATTTTCAAAAGTTTCATTATAAAACTAAATCAAAATTTTCATAGATTATAATATTTACTTCTACAATTTTAAATTATAAGTATCAAATTACAAATTGGATAAACCCACAAAAAATAAAAGTATATATTTCCATAAACATGGGTGAGGAGTTAAATGGAAGGGGGTGAGATAAGTTGATTCCATTCTATTGTACTCCATTCGATTTTTATTATGAAACGTCTAAAACTATCTTGTTAGAATTAAAGATAAGTGGTTAAGTTACTAATTTTTTCTCAAAAAAAGAACAAACTTTCAATGTTACCCCTATTTAAATAATTTTTTTAAATTTGTATTATATTATCTTTATTGTTAATGAGTTTAAATAAGAATAATATTAAAAAATGTAAATACCCTATAGTATGTTTTATATTAAAGACAACAAAATGCTTCTAAAAGCTAAGGGACCCTAAAATAGGGAATGGAGGGAGTGTTTATTATGAGAATGGATTTGATGCATTTCTCTCTATTACATTTCTCATGTGTATTTCACTGAAATTTAATTCACATTGTGAAGAAAAATGATCACCGCACTCATATTTTAAAAAAATGTTGAAGCAATAGAAAAAGATCTTAAAACTAAAACTACAGCTTTATCATTAAATAAGGTTGATTAAAGCAAATAAGGATGGTTATTGAGATGCTTTAGTTCTGTCCCAACTGCTATCGAGATAAAATGACTTTCAAAATAAGGTAAAATAGGACTTCCAATTATTTTCGGACGGGAGGACGGGCACTCTAGACATACCCATAGCCATTATCCATGTCCCTCTCTTGAATCCCATTAATGCGCTCCGTGATCAAAAGTGGAATTACCTTCAATCCCCAATTCTCTCTACAAGGAAAAGGAATGTCTAAAAGCTCCATCTGATCCTCAAACGACACCTCTTGGCTTCAAAACGACGCGAGTCCGTCACTCCTCTCAGACTCACCAAGGCATGCTTTTGTATACTCCCTCTCCCCTTCTTCGTCTACTTCCTCGTCTGCGGCTTTTAGACCTTTGCATCCTATCCGATAAAGACGTTGACTTTCGGTCTCCAGAGGAGGAGAAATGGATCAATCAGTTCTTGATGACATCATCAATCGTCTGCTTGAAGTTCGTGGTCGTCCGGGTAAGCAGGTTCAGTTATCGGAGTCAGAGATCCGCCAGCTATGTGTAGCTTCTAAAGAAATTTTCTTGCAGCAGCCTAATTTATTGGAGCTTGAAGCACCCATTAAGATTTGCGGTATCTTAATCATTCTTTTTTCTTCGTATTATTCTGTCTTCTCTTGCTGATGAGGATTCTGCCCTTCATCAGTTCATCTTTTGGAAGAGGAGTATTATTCAACATTTTCAACTGAGGATTTTAATTCGAGGAATAATCTAACATGCTTTTTACCCGATACCCACCATTCTTCTATGTTGTTGGGCAATTCCGCGTTTCAACATACGAGGATCTGTAGTAGAATATGTCATCTCCTTGTCCAGAAGGGGAATTGTTTCAAATTTGAGATTTGGATGTGAACCAGGTGATTAGAAGTCGACCAAGACCTTGTGAACTCCCAAAACCCCCCTCCCCAAAAGGTGGTGGTTTAACTACTAGTCTGCTCATGGTTTCAAATTAAATGTAGCTCTATGCCCCGGAGCCTATCTATTTATGAGATGGGATTATATATTTGATAGCTATTTATCTAGTCTTCCCATGCCCATGATAATCTGTTCATTGGTGTGAAATGTTTTGCCTGCTGCAAAGTGGAGCAGATAATATTGCTCCACACGAGTTGTGAGGTCTTGGTCATTACTAACTGCGGTCATATATGTGAATGCAGCTTGAGTGTCTACAAATTCTAGAATAAGTTTTAGTGTTTTGACATATTATCCGACAGCATTCTGCATTCCTAATTTTACCAAACCCTGCTTATATGCTGACAGGTTTTAAATTGTTTCATATGTAATTCAGTAGTTGTTTTCCGCTCATAATTTAACCTCTCTGTCATTGGATGCGCATCACTCTCTTATTTTCGTGGTTAGGATTTGAAAGTTGTATGTGTAAACTCACAAATTTTATCATATTTCTGGTCCTTGTTTCTTTCATAATAATAAGCTGTAAGCTGCAATACTATTTCTTTGCTAACTTAAGTTTCACATTACTCAAGTTGCAATGGTGGCCTATTCATTGAATGTTATTGGTTTTTCCGAATGAAAAGTTAAGAAATCTAGTATTTCCTCAATTGCATCTTAAGTGGGGGGACCCCCCCCCACGGGAAATGCCTCATTGACTAGTCCATACTAACTGCCAACTACCAGCTATGATGCCAAATTATAGGTACTCAAGCAGGTGAGGGATTCTGCCACCAAAAGCTAGCTGTTGAGATAAATTACCACTTTACTTTAGTACTCCATTAAGTGCTTATGAGACTTAGGCATATATACTATACCATAATCCCTGTCAGGTTATCTGATCGAAATATTTGGGCTGCGGGAAGAAGGATTTTTAGAAAACTATAGATCATGTGATTGGCTGGATTGCCAAATTTAGCTGTTAGATTGCCCCTAGTAATATGGTTAGATGTACAATGAATCATATTTCTCTTAGAGATACAACAAGTAACTAATGGAGAGACTGCATTCCATCTTTTAGAGTATATAGGTTATTAGCAATAAATGAAGTAATGAACTCAGTTTACCAAAAATTAGTGTTAAAAGTGGATGCGACTTTTACCTGAAAGAAAAAAAAAAAAAATAGAGGATGGGGGATGCCATCAACCCTGCCATTCTTCGGGTGGCCCAAGGCAGACATTGCACCTTTAGGTACCTCAACTGGATGCAGCTATGTTAGCTGTGCCACATTTTTTCTGAAACCCTGATACTGCTGCTGCTACCCTTCTCCTTTTTGGTTAGGTTAACTACTCACCTTGTACTTATGTCAAGCTTCTCATTCAGCTTATTTACTCACAGCTTTGATTTTAGATTTTTATGTTCTTGATACTTTGTATTGAATTATTTGCATTAAAATATTTTTTTTTTTTGGGATGAATTTGTATCAACATTCATTATTCATTCTGATCACCTTGCATGGTTGAGGGTCCCATCCTAACTCATCTTATTGGGGGTTCCAACCTTAAGCCACCTTATGCTTCTTGAAAACACTGATTGAAACCTGAAGCAAATTATAAATAATTTAGCCTCAAATTGACATATTTGTAATAGTCTAAGAGGATGCTATAGAGAATCCTACATAAATAATTTAGCCTCAATTCAGCAGGCCATAGGTGGGGAAGCTGATCTCTATTTCATTCAGTTAGTACTTTTTCTTGTTGATGTAGATTTTAAATGCAACTGTTGGAGCTTAAAATCCTCCAAGATATAGTTTGAGTCTACCACGATGGACTTTTAGTTGAAGTTATTGAATAAATATTCTAAATTTATTTATTGTTTCTTTTTCTTGCTGCCAAAAAGTGTAGGCCAAAGTCCAAACTACGAAATGTGGCATTCGTAAAAAAGAGTTGACTAATCTAATGATTTGCATTATGTGATTTGAACTGTTCTGTTTTATTACATCTGATGAAATCCATCTATTGCATGTATTGTTAATTTTATGGCTTGGATATTGTTTACAAAAAGGAAAAATTTCTTCTCTTTAAATGATTGTTTAATTTCATGATCTTGTTCTTTCAGGCGACGTGCATGGTCAATATTCTGATCTTTTGAGGCTTTTTGAGTATGGTGGTTTACCTCCTCATGCCAACTATTTGTTTTTGGGGGATTATGTGGATAGAGGGAAACAGAGTTTAGAAACAATATGTCTTCTCCTGGCTTATAAAATAAAATATCCTGAGAACTTTTTCCTTTTGAGAGGGAACCATGAATGTGCTTCTATAAATCGAATATATGGATTTTATGATGAGTGTAAGGGAAGATTCAATGTAAGGTTATGGAAGACATTTACAGATTGCTTCAACTGCCTGCCAGTGGCGGCCCTTATTGATGAAAAGATTCTGTGTATGCATGGGGGACTTTCACCTGACTTGCATAGTTTGGATCAAATAAGAAATCTACAGAGACCCGCAGACGTGCCAGATACAGGTTTGCTTTGTGATCTCCTTTGGTCAGACCCAAGCAAAGATGTTCAAGGCTGGGGAATGAATGACAGGGGAGTTTCGTATACATTTGGTGCTGATAAGGTGTCAGAGTTTCTTCAGAAGCATGATTTGGATCTTATATGCCGTGCTCATCAGGTTGAACTCCTTCTTTTGTTGTTCAGTGTTGTGAAGTTTTCAGGATTGAATTTGGATCCTTTTCGTATGGCAAAAGGAGGACTACCTAATGTATTGCAAGCACTCCTAATCTGAGTCAGGACTATCACAGATGCTTTATTTTTTGTGATCTTAGACTTTCGTTTTTCAAATTACATACAAATTACCTGATGCTATGACTCTTTACAATTTCATGTTCAAATGAGAGGATGTTAAGTTTCCAGCTAACTATGCTTTCAATTTAAAGTGGTTTTGTTTCCTCTATGTTTTTGGCAGGTTGTGGAGGATGGATATGAGTTCTTTGCTAACAGACAGCTTGTAACAATATTTTCAGCTCCTAATTATTGTGGGGAGTTTGACAATGCTGGTGCTATGATGAGTGTTGATGAGACATTAATGTGCTCTTTCCAAATACTAAAGCCTGCTGATAAAAAACCAAAGCTCAATTTTGGAAGTACAACCACTGCTAAGCCTGGAAATTCTCCAGCAGGTGTCAAGGTATGAAGATGTGTTCATATTTGTTGATTTGTATGATTTTGTTTTCCCTTTTTGAGGTTGTTCACACTTGATGACTTGGGATGTGTCCTTTCTTCGCCCTTGCCTTCACTATGCCTTGCAGTCCTTCCTGGGTAAAGTTTGAAATCAATTTTGGTGGAAGATTGGCTGGTTCAACAGGTCAGCTTGGTCTTTAACATGTAATTGCTGCAAGAAAAGGAAACTTGAGTTCGATTTGGTCTACTATGATATGTTGGAATTGTAAAAAATGAAGGGTAACACCATCATGAACTAATGTAAACCATTGTTGTCGCTGGTACAAAGATGGATTACAAGATGGGGTCATAATCTCTTCCTTGTGCGCTAGTAGCAGGTATATGTTCTGAAAATTGTAAGCTTCTCAGTTCTCCACGGAAGGTGAATTCAGCAGCATTTGTTGGTGAGAACCATTTAAAAATGCTCATGCAACTGGCCTTATTGATGGCACTTCAAGCTGGCGAAACAATTTGGTTGAATTTTTTCTTTTGTTTTTCTTTTGGGGGGCTCTGTTCTCTTTCCGGGTTGCCTCTTTGTTTTTGTGGAAAGCCAGGATTTTTACTTACTTTGGAACCTCTGGAAATTGATTTCGAGGCATTGGAAATTTGGAGTTTACTTCATCCGAGACAAAAAGGTTTTGGTTTCTGGCAATTTTGCGATGTCTCTGCCATCACATCTGTGAAGATGTTTCCTCAGCGGAAGTGGGGCTTCTGTTCTTCTAAGGAGCGTGAGTTAGACGCCCAGGACAAGAGACCTGAGGGTATACTGTCCCAGCCCTGCAGTCAACCCAGAGATGCTTCTTAATTTCTTCGAACAGGATAGAGACTTGGAGAATTAGAAGCTGTGCCTGTTCAGTTTTGGCAATTTACTGAAGAAAGCATGACCTAGTCGACCATGATTCCGTTGTCGTCTGCGGAATTGTAGTGCCTTCCACTGGATTCCATTAACTTGGCCGAGTATGCTTGTTTTCATTCCACGGCTATTTTAACTCGTTTGGTTTACATTTTCTAGACCGTGTATCTACTTTCGATAGAGCCATCAATTACAGGCTTGACCTTTTTAAGCTGAAAAAATTGAAGGCTGAGCTACTACTTCAGTGAGACCGAAAATAAAAAAGTCAACCTTTTAGGTCAGGGAACTCTTTTAAGGTTGAAAATAAAAAAGTTGGCCCTTTAGGGTTAGAATTGATCCTTTTAAGCTTTAATACATTTAAAAAAAAAACAACATAAAAATATATATATAAAAAAAAACACCAAATCACTCAAGCTCAACACTCACTCTTTAGTTCAGGCAGTAGATATGTACATTACTATTTGTTTATTTTGAATATTTTTGCATTCTTTAAATACTTTGAAGTTATGATTTTGGTTTATTATTTATTGTAAATAATGAGGATGAAAAAGGAAGATATGAAAAGCTTAACATATTTGCCATTGATGGGAATTTACAAGGAGAATGATCAAATTATATTGATGTTGAATTGTTGATGATGATGAAATCACCAAGATTTAGCTGATGATGCTACCAACATGTAATTGATGTTGGAGTTGATTTTGGGATATTATATTTTTATTAGATTTAAAATTTTTGTTACGTGAATTGACTTTATTTTATTTTTCTAGATTTAATGTGATATATAATAATTTTGTTAGGATTTTAAATATATTTTTTTAAATTTTTAAATTGAAAAATTAAAAAAATAAATAAGGCTAAAGTCTTGAGAACTAGCCCTTCAGTCTTGAGGGTCAGGATTGCTAAAAATAAAACCTTAAGGTATAATCACATTTGAAAGAGCCACCTTATTCAAGTACTGATTTTTGAAAATTGGGTTGATTTGAATTGATACCTCTAGCTTTCAACCTGATTATGGCGGTTCGTGCGTGCTTTATCTCGTACCTGTTGGTATTTAATCAAGACTAAGACGACACGGTATGGTGTGATATTTACCTTTTGCCCATCAACAGCCACGCCGATTCTGAGATTGAAATGGGTCCCTGGATCCTCGAGTGGACGTTGTTCTCACAGCAGGGCCCGATAACGTCAAGAATGAGAAGCAATATATTGAAAATTCTGCGAGGTCGACGTGATTCTTTTTACTTCGTAAATGTCTTGCCCCGTTTCTTTCTTAATAAGTAAAATAACAGGAAAATCAAAGCTCTATTATTTAAAAACAAAAGCTCAGGATGGCCTGGCCTTGTGGGTATTGTATTGTACTTTGGGGATATTAAAGGGGGAAGGAGCATCCAAAAGAGGCCACGTCCGATGGCCATCGAGTGTTGTCAAGGAAACAAGACATAAAAGGCAGAAAGAGACCTGTGTTGTCGACATGATTAAGGATCAACTAACAAACAGTTGCTTTTAATGATACCAAATCCGATAATCCTATCCACTTGGGCTGTATTAAGGGAAGATAATCACATGGTGGGGACCAGGCTTTGCAGCAAAGACATGTGGTGGGTTCAGGATTCGGGTCTTTCCTACCACAATTATTGCTCCCGCATTATCCCGATGACGACTGCCCTTACCTGACCTCACACCCACCGTTTGTTTCAACATCACTCGGCTAACATTGTTGTTTGTTCTGGTTATCCAAGCTGCGCGACTACATTAATTTACTCTCTCTCTCTCTCTCTCTCTCTCTCTATATATATATATATATATATATATGTTTGCTACATGATGTCGGTGATTCCTTCCATCTGATAACGTGCGACCTGAGACTTGAGAATCTCGCCAGAAACCAACTCGTTGACCCCGTGATACCAGTTGCCCACTGAGATCACCCATTCCCATGTTCTTAATGAATAAAATTATCCCCAAACTTTTGGCTGCCCATCCATGATGATGTGAGAACATGTTAGTTTTAAGCCGCTGCAGTGTTAAGTTACTGATGTATCTGACATTTTCAACAGCTGTACTTTGACTTTAGAAAAGAAGGCGAATTTGAAGCTCGGGAGCTTGGTTTCCTTTTTTTCTTTAATAAAAAAAATAAAAAAAATAAATAAAAATAAGGAATAAAAAATAACAATTAAGAACTGCTAGAAAAAAAAATTATATCAATTAAAGACAGGTTGTTATCAAAACTAAAATGAAAGACAAATATGAATGAGCTGTTATTAATGTAAAATGTGTTATTGTTAAAATTTAAATGAATAATTGCTGATAAAAGATTAATTTAAATTAATAAATATTTAATCAGATTTTAATAATAAATAACTTTTAATTAATATAAATTTCTCTAATTGATATTTTTCCAATGAGAAATGCGGAATAAGCTGTAGCGCAGTGGAAGAAAGCCCGAATTGTTTCGACCAGTTTGGGTTTATTTATTTAATTAAAAGTGGAATCAGGGGGCAGCCGTAACACGCGCATTCACATGCAGAGAAAAAGGGGTCATGTGATACGCGCGCTGCGCACAGAGAGCTTATCGTACGTCTTAATTATAAGACAGATGCCATTTTTTTAATTTTAAAATCGACATGTTCCGAGATTTTCACATTGAAACTGTTGCGAGGGAATTGAGTTTGGAGGAATCAGAATCCTGGTGGTTGTAAAGTATGGAAATGTCGAGGAAGGAGGCGTTCATAGATACTCTCCCCATTTAAAAATATAAAATATTTTTAATTAAATTTTATTCTTTAATAAAGTAATTATCTATTTTATAATTAATTTTATCTTTTCATATTTGTCCCCATTAAACACCCTACAATAAATATAAAATTATTATCAATATAGACACTTAAAAAAAAAGGTAATAATTACACTTCAAAAAATTAAAAACAATGCCTTACATTTTTAAACATTTAACTTCTTAAAAAATACCTTACATTTTTTAATGAAGGATGTATATGAAAAGGGGAGGGGAATGAAAGAAGGGGGAAGATAGAGAGAGGAGGATTAGTTAAGGATATGCTGTTGTTAAGATGCCTCCACAGGTAGAGTTGAGAATATAGGCCGGATTTGAAAGGCTGGGTTTAAAAATCTTATTTAGATAAAGGTTCAGACTTAAAAAATTAGTGATTTTTTGAGAAATGGAACTTCTAAACCTAACCCTAATAGGTCCTAAAAAAATGATTGAGGCTCCTACTACCCTTCAAACTCTATTTTTCAAAAGATCAATGGGTTTTTTTTATACAAAACAAAACCCAAACCAGCTTAACGCCTACTAATAGTAGTTGGGGAGAAGTCCGAAGCTAAAAAACGAGCAGCATCCTCAGGCACCTAATTCATATGGTAAAACCCAGGCATTGCATGCATACCATACTGTGCAAGTGAGTCAGCAACACAATTAGTCTAACATCAAACGTGGCAGAGTTTAATCTCCCAATTTTGGTGAATTAACGACTGTGCTTCACTACTGATCCCAGCATCTGCATGTAAGGGATTGCATTCATGACGTAAACACTCAATAGCGTCAACTGAATCAGATTCCTGATCAATCTTTCTAAATCCTATATCCCATGCAAGTTTCAAGCCATGAAGACACGCCCATATTTCAACCAAAAGAGCATCTCCATCATTAAGTCAACAATAAAAGCCTTGTAAAAAGACCCCTTTAGGATTTCTGATCAACCCGCCACAAGCATTACTATTAGTGATCTAGGAGAATGCCTCATCTACGTTAACCTTCACCCACCCATGCTCCAGAGGGATCCACGATGCCTTGACCTCGTGATGATCACTAATAAGGTTCTTAAGAGAGTCTTCATACTACGTAAAATAGCTTTTGAGCTTGACACAACAAAAGCATTGGGCATTTTATGCTGTTCAAAGATGTATTCATTTCGTCTATGCCAAATCTTCCAACAAACCATCGAAAAAACATGACTCAATTCATTATCATCCATAAGCCACTACTTCTAAGAAATATTCCAACTAAACCAATCACATAAAGGTAATGTGAAGAATGGACGTTGTTTATTAAGGGGAACCAATGAGTGCCAAAGTTGAAAAGTATTTGGGCAATCCCCAAGCACATGTGAAGAATCTTCAGTGTCATATTTGCAGATGAAACAAGACGTATCTAATGTCATCCCATGATTCTCTCGAGCCACCTTTGTCAATAGGCTCCCATGAGACGCTAGCCAGCGAAAAGATCAATGAGTTTTCTTTGTGTTGTGTTATTAAAATAATTAGTATTGGTTTTTTTACCATTTATTTTAATATGATATTTACAAATTTGTTATTAATTACTCAAACATGATTACTTTATACAATCTATTTATTGGTTTTCATTAATACATAAGTTTTTATAAGGTTGATTTGAATTGAAAATTTTTATTTTCATTTTAAAACTTAATTAAGATTTTATATTTGTATTTCTATTTATCTATTTTATTAAATTTATTTAAAAAATAAAATTGGCTTATGGAGGTGACTCCAAACTTTTTAAGTAAGAGTTAAACTTTAAAAATTAATATTTTTTAATAAACAAGTTTAAGAGTTTGAGCCTTCAAGGCTGAGCCTGCCTCTTTTGCATCTCTGGCCATGGGCAGCATGGCAATTGAGATAAGATGCGGCGAATACACGAAGGAATTTTGCTTTGCTCTGCCCATTTCTCTTGATTGCATTAAGAACGTTGGGGGAGATAACTTATCGCAATTCCGTACACGGGCACCACTCCCTCTGCGTCTGCGACACGTGTCCACCGCATTCTAGAAGAAATCCTCCTCATAGAAACTTGCAATGCACGCATGCCGATTTTTGAATCATGAAATTTCAACCCGGCGAATAAATAGCGACAGCGGACCACCACTTGATAATGCCACGGTCATATGTGACAAAGATAAGTATTGTACCGGTAATATACTGCCTCTCATTTTTCATTTTGCTGTTAGGCGGGGCCCTCCGCCTCTCCATATATGGCCGCGGATATTCCTCCAAAGAGAGAATATCGGAAAATAACTCAAACAACTTATCGGGGGTTGCGTTGAATTCAGTTCCATGTCCAACGATGGGGGGCCTCCTCTCCCCATGCATGTGACCCCTCAACAGCTCAAGTCAAGGCTGCCTAACAAATTGTCAAAACTTGAGCTTCCGCGCCCCGCATTCTTTGGCCCCTTCTGTGCATTTTCTCTATGCATTTACC